AAAAGTGCCTGCCATATAATTTCTTCACTCCCATAACTTGCTCAAACCAATCAAACTATAACACGCAGTTTTAAAGAAAACGTATTATTTTCTTATTGTTGTTGCAATATTTGTTACTGTTGTAAATGATATATATTTATACATTTTTTCTAAGTGCGTTTCCTTATAAATCCCAGACGGCGCTACCATCGCTTCCAAATTGCTGTCCCCATTGGCTCTATGGGCATGTCACGAGCCTGCCCGTGCATCAACGATGCTGTGCGAAATTTTGTACGTGCAACAAAAAAGCCACGGCTTTGGCGCAAAGGCGAAGCAATTAATTCGATAACCACGAATCAGAAGGCCACACGCAGACTGGCAAGCAGATCAAAACGTGCCCCGTGTTCTTCACGCACAAATGACGCACAAAACGTACTCACAGGTACAGATGAAAGCGGATAAGCGTCTCAGTTGTTACTTTGCTGTGTCTGAAAAGCGCGCCCTTTTCAAAAACGGAGGCTGTGCGACGATTGCAGGGACCTTTGTGCGCCCGGTAACTACAACAGAATAGTTCCGACAAAACCCAAAGGCTAGCCAAGACGTACGATTCTACTCACTGCAAGATAAGCGCATGCGTTCGAGCGTACACCCCCTTATTTTCTACGTGGGAGAAAGTACGCGTGAGAGACGAGAGCCGTCGCGGGCTCACTGTGCCAAACATGATAGTCCCCCCCCCCCCCCCACTCCCCCGAGATGCCCTCCAACAGCGGTAAGTGGTCGATATGAAAAAATTAGCCTGAATCTACATATCACGTTGTAAATCACGACGCAAGACTATCGTCGAAAGACGATAGTCTTGCGTCTAGAGAGAGTGAACAAAACGTTTATTTGATGTTCTGCGAAAGAAAATTGGTGAATGGTATTCTGCAGGCGCTGCGTTAGAGTGCCTCAAGCGTGTGACGGAGGTGAATGAGCGCATCTAGACACGTTAGACACAAGTGCCATCTGGCAGTTATCTCAGAAAACGAAGGCGTGCAGCCCGCGGAGAAAGATGCGTGTTAGTCTCGGAGGTGATAAGGTGAAACGCAAAGCGACGGGCAGGTGCCTCCACCGTGACGTCGTAGCAAAACGTTGGAAACACCTTTTTGAGCATCGCGTTGCACTGTCAGCAGCAGCGCGATTAAATGCTACATTCCTTAGAGTTACTCGTGTGTGCCTCTTCTAGTATAAAGGCAGACACAGAAAACATCCAAGCGTTGTTGAGGGGCCTCAGATATGCGCAATAGTTGCTTTTTAATTGACAATCGCGCAAATATGAACGCTAAACCTTGAGCAATATCGGTCGGCGCTGCGGATGGGGTTGGCTGTTTGGTGCCGTTTGAGGTATCGGTAGGGTGGACAAAGCAGACAAATGTACAGATAGACAGAAAGATCAAAAAATTTTTCGTCGAAGGTCCCAAGAAAGGCTATCGTCTTTAATAGCTTGCCGTTTCAACGTCGAAGGAGGTACCTCTCGGAGGCTCAGTGGTTAACGCCTCGCATTCACGATGCGGAGGTCCCATGTTCAATACCTCGCACCCGAGTCTTTTTTCTGAGATTTATTTCTTTTTGCATGTTCATATATATAGTTAAGTATACATATACGGTGCACGGCGCCGACACTGGAGGCGAACTCCAGCCGACAGTGTCCATATATTTGTTATCACAAAAAAAAAGACTGCACGAACGAGAACTGACGAATGGACGAAAGGGCTCTCCGAGGCAGTATATGCATAGTGAGCGTGCTTGGTGGATTTGCTACCGTAGCACGCCGTTCGCAACGAGCGCAATCGCTGCTGCACGGGACCACATGTGTAACGTCATTGCAGGCTCCGACAGGAACGCGGGGTTACTTGGCCGATGAGTCACTAGCATTCAACGTCTGATCCATTTGCGCTTATGTCACAGCCGCGCTCATAATAACGCAGACCAGGTTCGCGAATGCTGGACAGGGCATATGTAACAATGTCAAGCAATGACAAAGAAGGGACCAGTGCGCAGTACATTGGCAGAATGGTTACCATTCAATCAGCACTGGCAAATGTCGCAGAAGTTGAACCTTAGCTACGTCGTCAAACCCTTTCTTTCTTTCTTTCTTTCTTTCTTTCTTTCTTTCTTTCTTTCTTTCTTTCTTTCTTTCTTTCTTTCTTTCTTTCTTTCTTTCTTTCTTTCTTTCTTTCCTTCCTTCTTTCTTTCTTTCTTTCTTTCTTTCTTCTCCCTCACCCCGTTTCCAATCAACGTGCGTCCAATAAATGCACGTCTTCTGTTGGTCCACACCTTTCCGTCAAATGTAGTGCACCAAAGCGGCCCGTGTTTACAAGAAGTGCACATTTGAGACAACCAGACCTTCAAAAAGCAAAGCGCTTGTCTTTGTAGTACTATAATGCCTAGTTCACACTTAAACATCCGCTTTATACAGCGACCGGAATTCCCCTGCCACCGAAACGCAGCGTCGTTCGCACTGGACGTGCCCCGCACCGCCGAATATGCCATCTACTACGGGGCGAACGCGGGATGGATGCGCTGTCACCCGGTTGTTGTCGCGGCTCGCAAACGCTACTACGCTACCCGGTGGTGTATACTTCTATGATTCTCGTACGCAAGAAGCAAGAAAAGACAGTACTGCTTACTTTGCTGGCAAGTGGCTGTCTTGTAATGTACGAAGAGCAGAAAAACCACCGACGCCAGTGGCGTTGGTGGGTTCGTTTTGCTCTGCAAGACCACAACAAGTTCGGTCATGCCGACAGCAAGCTCGGTCACCTCTTTCACGAAATACGGAGGCGAAGTAGGCACAGAGTAGGTTAAACTTCCGTTGGTTTCAACATTCAGTTACGTGCATTGCGGCATAACAAGTGATTAGGGCTTGGCCGCCATTTTTCAAAATTCCTTGACTAGCGCTCCTATTGGTCCGCGGTGACCGATTCGGCGGCAGAAGCCGCAAAAATTGGTGCGAGAGCGATCGGCGCGGAGAGGGTCCGTTCGGCGGATCTCGCCGCCGCCGAACCGGATTCGGAGCACTTTCGGCGGCCGGAATGCTCGGTGTGAACGCGGCCTAAGAAGCCTCCTGGTTATTCTTTTTGGCAGCTCCGGTAGTTACGGATAGTTGTTTTCGTTGCTTCTCTTTTATATACAGCCCTCGATTTTGTCACATAATGCTTTTTCCTGCCGTATCAAATAAAAGGAGGGTTCTGTACCTGCTTTTGCAACTACAAGTTATTTTTCTTCACAGAGTCAACAGTTTTATATTCTAAATGCACCACACTTTCATTGTCCTTAGTGTCTCTTCAAAAGTCCCTTAGCTCTCACCTCCTACCACCTCAAAACTTGTGTCTCACTTCGCCATTTATAGTCTTATTTGTCGTCTCCTCATGAGTTCCAAACCAAGGTGTTCCGGGAGTTTTGATGATATGTGGTGTTTAACGGCCTACAACTGATTATGAGAGACGCATGGATGGCTGCGAAAATTGAGACCACCTGGCGTGTTCCGGAGTCTCTTAGTGCATGTCCGTTCCCGGTTGAACACAATCGAAGTAGCAAAAGCAGTTTTGCAACCAACACACCTCTCTAGAAGCTTTCAAACACCTCGTACATTTTGAATTCGCGTAAGGCTCTCTGCCTAATTACTGCAGTATTCCTCGTTTATCTTTCTGCCATGGCTTTCTCCTGCAAGTTCGTGTACTTACTAAAGGAATTTCTTCATCTTCAGCGGTATTTGTTTCCTTTGACTTTAATTATTTCCTGTTGTTTGCAAATATCACGTGATCATTCGGTCTGCCCATTGGTACATGTGTCGCACTGATGTTTTGTAAAATGAACTTGCCGCATAAGAATAGAAACGGTTTAAATACGTTTATAAGAAACAAATGTGAGTCAGTGAATCCATCATGGTGAAGATTATCTGTTTTGTTTGAGTGGAATGAGAGAGCCTTTGAATATTTCCTTAAACAGGTACTGCGCTGGTCCAAGATTTCTTAATATCACTGACTCTAACGTACCAGATTCCTGAAAACAAATCTCTGAAGTTCTTGAACTTGAGGTTTCATTTCTGGAGTAGCCAGGTAGGCAGACGATGCGAGCCTACAGCAGGAAAAAGGAATAAAAAAGCATTTCTCGCCTTTTGCCTGGGCACATAGATTGCGCTGTGCGTTTTGCCTATTTTCACAATGAATTTGCAGAGACTTGTTAGCATTCGATACGAAAATCTTCAGTGAGTAGATTGCTCGTTTGAAGCCAAGAGGTTTTCCTCACCACCTGATATGCGCATTCGACAAGTTGTGAAAGTGTTCGAAAATCAGTGACACGTACAATGATTCTGAGGCAGCTGCTCGTATTAAGGTGGCACGGATTCACAACCTGCATTATATGCCCCACAAGGCCAATAGGATTGGTCAAAAACCAGGGGTTGTGTTTCAATCACCGAATGAATGGCGGCAGTTATGTACCAGAACCATTCCGTCAGAGAGACCTTGACATAGTACTGAAATACAAAGTGAAATGTATTTACCAGAGCAATAGTATGCAGCGAGAGTATGTAGAGCTACACAGTGTACTCGTATTAATGGAGAATTTTTCAGACCAAGGCAGAGTTAGATCCTAGGAGGGGCTCCAAAGAATACTCCATTAATAGGTCCTTGAGTTACCAGCTTCTATCTTGCTGGTTAACTCAATTCTTAGAACACACGTCACGGAAAGGCGTTAGCCCCGGGTTCAATACCGGACCAGGATAACTTTAGAGGAACTATGCAGGTTTATTCCATTGCCTATAGAAATTTCCTTGTAGCCTTGCGTAACACATGGATGGCTATCAACTTTCACTTTCACAATATTTGTGCCAACTTGTATAGTAACTGTGATATTTATTATTTCGCGGTAAGTCACATCGTCACCTTAAATATGGTAGTCATGTCAACGATACGGATATTCCGTATGACGCTGAAATGTTTAAAGAAAAATATTAGGTTTGGGGCAACGCATGGCTGCTTTTAAGGAATGTCTGTATCTCTCCACAAAGTCATGAGGTCTCGCCCAGCCCTTGTCTCGGAAATTTTTCGTTTCATCCGTTCAATCTGCCCCTGCGAGAAGTGATTCCTCCAATCACCTACTTGGCCCTTGCGAACAAAGTAGCCAGACCTGGGTACCTTCGTAAACTCCATCACATTATGAAGTCCTTTAAGAAGCTCTGGTCTGAGAGAGTCCATCTGCGGTGAGTTGCCGAAACCTCGTCTGGGAGCCTGCCGACTGTCGCTAATATTTCGCTTCATGTATTCCAAGCTGGACTTCTCCAAGACGCCATGCAGCAGCTCGGGATTTTCTTTTAGCTTCTTCTCTCTTTCTTGGCTGATGAAACCGGCAATTTTAAGGACATACGTTGTCGTGTCTTTTCTGAGGTTTTCATATGTTAGAAAAAGCACATTATGGTCATTTCTATGCTCGTACCATGAAAGAACGTTGTCAAAGTAGTCTCCAAAATCGACTTGCCCTTCTAGAAAGAGTTCAAGAAACTCATCAAAAGTGCCTTCCCCGAATTGATACGGTGGATTTTGCTTCGTGTGGTAGTAAAACGACACGCAGCAGTCATAAGGGTTTCTCGTGATATAGATGTACTTCGCCTCTTTGGAGTAAGGGCTCATGTGGAAAGGCAAGTGGGTCTTTAAGACGTGTGGTTTTGGCGCGTAGAGGGCGGCTTCGGCTCCTTGCATCTCTAAAAAAGGCATTCGCAGTAGCTTGATCTAAGGGATCTTTAGGTTCCTGGGCGTTCATGAGGATGTTGTAAACGATGTGATGCACCCAAGTGGTTCCACATTTGGGTAGCTGACGACGAATATGTCGTCTGGCTGTGGCTTGTACACCAGCGTTGACATTACAGTGTCCTCTGGAAAGTGCTTGCCGAGGTAAAGGCCCCTGATGGCATGGAAGGCCTTTGCAGCCATAGTTCTTCAGCTGGTACTCCTGCAAAATACAAATGTTGGGGCTTGAGTTGTAGCATTGCGGACGCTTGAGTTGTTGGAAGACAACATTTCAAGTATGTACTGCAGATTCATCTGCTAAGATAATGCAACTGCAGTCATCATCATTAAATACTAATTCTTCTAGAGACATCATACACGCAGTCAAAATAAGCAATAAACAAGGTATAGCTCATATAAAGGCAAATTCAGTCGTAACTTATAAATAGGGAAAACGTGATCAAGAAAATATACATGGCACAAACCATCCTTAACCAAAAGCCAAAACCCAAACGAAGCATAAGATTCAAAGTTAAATTACAAAATGATTTCACTGTTCTTGGTCTTGAGAAAATACCCAACTTGGGTTTTATATATTGAAAAGGGGTTTATTGACGTGTGTTGCGACGGCGGCTCTACAATTAAAACACAATCGAAATAGAGCATCGTTGAGGCAGATGCCGGTGACGACCAGCACGAGGCGAGCGAGGCAAGCTAAGAACTTAGTACCCAAGCGTTAGCGATGCTGCTTGCCAACGATGCATTTTCTTCTTCACAATTTGCCCTTGCCGAAAAAAGCCATCCTGGCGACCTTGGAGTCTGGAGGTAGAGGGCTATGGTATCGCTTAGGGTGGGCCACGTGGACGATGTCACGTCCCCGCCAGGCGCATGTCGTCAGATGGGGAAACGGGATCAATTAGAAAATTCAGCGTCCAGGTTTGCTCCAAAACGTGGTAAGAGCCCTCGTACTTTGGGACGCGTTTTGAGGAATCATCAAAGGGTTCAGTAAGGAACAGCCAGCTATACAAGTGATCCCGGCGAATAGCTGTGACTTCGTGGAGAGTTGGTATTGTTTTCTCTGTGGCGTTGTCCTTCTTGTGACGTAAAGGTGCACACGAGTTCGGCACTCTGCCGCTTGTCGTGCAGCTTCGGACACAGGTGGACATTCGGATGCGTCAGGACGTTTGTGGAAGGAGACTGTCGATGGTGTGGGAAAGTTCGCGTTCATAGAGGAGGAAGAAAGGTGAAAATACTTTCATGACCAATCTCTCAGAGTGGATATGAGCCAGTGCTTACAGGCTACAAAGGTTACAAACAAACAAAGGTGGTAGACTGTGCCACGGTGTTGTATGCGAACGCGATGAATGGAGGAATGCGGTCCCAGTTGGTATGATCAGATGTTACATACATCGCGAGGCATATAGCCGAGGCTGCAGTTCAATGTCTCCGCGAGCCCGTCAGTCTGTGGGCGGCATGTCAAGGTCTCGCGATGGACAACATGGCATTCAGAAAGCAGAGCTGCTGACGACTTCTTATAGGAAGGATCAACATCGGTCACTTAGAAGTTCTCGTGGTACACCAATGCCGTAGTATGAAGCGATGGAGGACGAAGAATGGTACGTCCCGCGCAGTGGCACCTGGTAGGGCAGCGATTTCAGCGTAGCTTGTTAAATGGTCAACGGCGACTATGATCCATAGATTTTCATCTGATGTTATCGGTAGAGTGCCATAAAATAAATTCTGATCTGATCTAAAGGTTTGGTAGGCACAGAAAGGGCTGAAGCGCACCGGACGAGTGGAAAGGCAGTGATTTACCGCGCTGACAGTCAGGGCAGCACATAACATTTTCGAACAAAATTATACATTCCGTGCCAGTCAAAGAGGTGGGGAATGCGTTCAGAAGTTTTGAAAACTCTGGCATGGCCACATTGAAGATCTTCATAGGAAAGAGGTGCACTATTTGTGATGGCAAGCTGCAGGGGACAACCAAAAGTCACTTACGACCTTCAGGGGCGTAGTTGCGTAGGTGTAGCAGCCGATCACGAATGATGAAATGAGGAGATTGACCAAGGAGAGATCGTGATACCACAGTGGTTGGCGATTAAGAGACAGTCACAAAGGGAAAGGATTTAAGGGTCCTTGTGTTTTTCGCTGGCAAATAAGTCAAGGTCGAGAGATGTGACGGAGTTAATACCAGTGGTTCCGCAGCCCGCGTCGGGAGGTAAATGCGAACGGGACAAGGACATCGGCGTCAGTGTGCTTGCGTCCACTGCGATAGATGACGCGAATGTCATACTCCTGGATTTGCAGTGCCCAGCGAGTTAAGCAGCCAGAAGGATCTTTCAACAATGTGGCGAGCCAACAGAGTGCATGGTGATCAGTTACCAGGTCGAACGGGCAACCATACAAATGAGAGCGGAACTTGCTAAGCGACCACGCTAGAGTTAAGCACTCCTTTTCAGTCACGCTGCAATTGGCCTCAGCTTTAGTGAGCGTGCGACTCACGCAAGCGACGACGTATTCGGAGTAGTGCGGCTTGCATTGGGTGAGGACAGTGCCAAGACCAACCCCGCCAGCGTCTGTGTGAACTTCCGTTGCAGCTGTTGGTCGAAATGCTGAAGAATGGAGTGGAGGAGATGTTAGCAGACAACGGAGCGTGGCAAACTCGACGTCGCAGTCAGGAGACCAGAATGAAAGGTCTTTGTCACAGCGTTGGAAGGTTGTATCACTGGTGCATCGAAGTTGTATCGTTGGTCAGTGGTGACAGGATCAACGCAAAATTTCGAACAAAGCGCTGGAAGTATGAGAATAGTCCGACGAAACTGCGCAATTCTTTCAGTGTAGCAGATTTCGGGAAGTCAGTGACTGCACGAATTTTCGAGGAGTAGGGTAGAACACCTTGCTTGGACACGATGTGCCCTAAGATGGACTGCTCTCGCGTGGCGAAGCGGTCCTTTTTGAGATTCAGCTGGGGCCCAGCGTTGGTTGAACACGTCAGAACCAGTTGGAGCCAAAGCAAATGAGTAGAAAAATCCGGAGAGAAAATGACAATGTCGTCGAGGTAGCATAGACACACAGACCACTTCAATTCACGCAGTGTGTTGTCCATGAGTCGTTGAAACGTGGCAGGAATATTACAAAGCCCAAAATTCGTACAGGCCGTCTGGTGTAATGAACGTAGTTTTCTGGCGATCAGCTTCTGCCATGGGATATGGCAGTAGCCAGATCGTAAGTTTAAGGAGGAATTTGGCCTCTTGGAGGCTGTGAAGGGCGTTGTTGATGCGTAGTAGTCGATAGACGTCTCTCCACGTCACTTCGTTTATTCGACGGTAGTCGACGCAAAATCAAATCAATTCATCCTTCTTTCAAACTAAACGACATGAGATGCCCAAGGAGTGCGCGATCGTTGAATAACGCGGTGGCGTAGGATCTCTTCTACCTGGTCGTTGATGACGTGACGTTCTACAGCAGAGACATGGTGTGGTATTTGACGCAACGGCTGGTGCGAACCGGTGTCAATGTAGTGGAGTACTACCGAAGTGGGGACCAATTGCGGCTGAGAAACGTCGAATAAATAGGCGAAGTGCTGAAGGAGGCTAAGAAGCTCGGCGCGTTCTTGAGCACTTAAGGTTTTGGCGATGGAAACTCGAGAAGTTGTCACTCGACGAGCATTCTAGCGGGGAAATGGCATGGATATCGGTCGAGACACTACTGCAAGATTCTTCTGTTATAGTAAGAAAGAAAGAAGAATAAAGCCACTCCACTCGACCGGGACATTCATCGGCAAGAAGCATAAGCAGTATGAAAAGGGGGTTGTGGACGAGAATATTGCTTTGGCCAACCATGACGTCAAGTGTAGCGAAATGCAGGGAAACAGCCTTGCGGCTGATGAAAATGTGGGAAGGTCTAAACAATACCATAACATCGTTATGGTCATCGCAGCAAACAGGGACAACGGGAAAAGAGGCTGGCGGAATTTTCGTGTCCTCACGCACGATGAGTTTTGGCGACCGATCAAGGGTTTCGTGCAAACGTTCCTCATACAGGTGCGAAAATTGAACTTCAGCATGTGTGCAGTCGATGACGGCATTATGATGTGACAGAAAGTCCCACCCGAGGGTAACGTCATACGTTCACACCAAAAGGATGATGAACTGGACGGCGTACACAGAGCCTTGGATGAATATACGAGCAGTACTGGCGCTGAGAGGTCGAACTGGCTGTGCGCTACACGTGCGAAGCGATGGTCCAGAGAGCAGCGTGGTCACTGTGCGTAGAGAGCGGCAGAGCGGGGCGGCTATAACAGATATGGTAGCACGTGTGTCGACAAGGGGAAAGGTAGAAACACCATGGACAGATATGGCGACGCTGTTAGTGGGTGAGGTGCTAGGGCTTGGGTTTTTCGGTGTCGGCACAGTTCCTGCCTCTGGAACTGTGGCGTTTAGTTTTCCCGGCTGGAGAAACCGGGTCAGCGACGCATTTGGGAAAGTGATCACCTGCGAGGAGATATGGAGCGGGGAGGGCGAGCCCGAGATAGGGCTGGGGTGACTAAGACTCGGTAAGGTTAGTGTAGCCATACTGCGGTGAGGGATAGGAAGGTGCTGATTGATTGATTTGTGGGGTTTAACGTCCCAAAACCACCATATGAATATGAAAGACGCCGTAGTGGAGGGCTCCAGAAATTTCGACCACCTGGTATTCTCTAACGTGCACCAAAATCTGAGCACACGGGCCTACAACATTTCCGCCTCCATCGGAAATGCAGCTGCCGTAGGCGGGATTCGATCCCATGACCTGCAGGTCAGCAGCCGAGTACCTTAGCCACTAGACCACCACGGCGGGGCTAGGGAGCAGGTGGGTGCATGGGCTGTTGGTCATATGGGAACGGCTGATTAGCGTCGTGGATTGGTTGGAAGGGACGGCGAGAATATCGGGCCACGTGTCCTAGAGTACAGCAGGTGTAGCAGATCAGGCCATTGTCAGGAGTGCTCCAAGAATTGATGACTCGCGGTGCGGCGCAAGGTGTCGAAAGAGGGGTCGGAATGGGGAGCAAGGGAATACATGCGTGAAAAATGTCCGCTGGCGGGGTCTGCGTACCACCTGGGCATACGTAAGAGGCGCGGCTACGGGCTGCATAGCTGGCACGTAGGGAACTAGGCGTGGCCACAGGCTGCTGGCGGGGAACGACGGAAACAGCCCTGAGCTATCCTCT